TACATGCAGGCAAAAAAAATTCACACACATAAAATAAACATAAATCAAAATAATTTTAACAAAAATAAAATAAGTGGCTAGAAATGTAGCTCAGTTGATAGAGTATCTGTCTAGCATGTACAAAGCCAGCAACTCACAAAACCAGGCATTGCAGTGCCTGTCTATAATCTAGAACTTGGGAAGTAGAGGCTCAAGGTCATACTCTACATCATAGGGGGTTCAAGGCTAACCTGGCCTCCATGAGACCCTCTGAGAGAGAGACAGGCAGAGAGGAGACTGGAGAGAGAGGAGAGAGAAGGTAAAGAGAGGAGAGAGAAAGAGAGGAAGAAGAGAGAAGGGAGGGGAGAGAGAAGTGAGAGAGGAGAGAGGGAGGAGAGAGAGAAAGGCATATTTCTTATTCAGTATCACAGACAGGGGACTCAATGGCATGGAGTAGATGTAAGCAGGCTTTTCTGCCTTTGGAGTGAAGAGGACCAAAAAAGGACCTGTGGGACTCAGGGGCTTAGCTGACTCGTTGGGACTTGTTCCAATCCTGCCTGCAAGCTGGTTCTGGAGTATGGGGAGATGAATCGCTGAAGATCTAGGCTCTCAAGGAAGACTTGGGCTCTATTCTTCGCTCAGCCATGTGTGTCTTTAGAAACAGAAGGTACCTTCCCATCACTTTTCTTCGTGAGGAGGAAGATTTGATTTGCCTTGTTTTCTTTGAGCCAAGGTCTCGTGCTGATCTTGAACGAGCCAGGTAGCCGAGGATGACCTTAACTGCTGATCCTCCTGCCTCCAACTTCGAAGTGCTAGGATAACAGGCATACACCACCATGCAAGGTTTATGTGATGCTAGAGATGGAGCCCAGGACTTCTGCACATTTGGGCAAGCACTGCTGGGAGGAGCAAATGCCGCAGAAGTTGCATTTGTAAGCACCAACCAGGCGCACAGATGTCAACAAGAAAAAAAAGCCACCCACTCTGAGGTGAACGGGAGCTCTCACCTCTGGTCTGACACATTTCTAGATCACTAGTAACCTCTGCCGAGAGGAGGGTGGATATAAATGAAAGAAAGGAAAGGATGGAGGAGAGAGGAGAGGAGGAAAGAGCAAGGATAAAAGCGGGCTAAACCGGCTGCGCGTGTTGGCTCGCGCCTTTAGTCCCAGCACTCGGGAGGCAGAGGCAGGCGGATCTCTATGAGTTCAAGGCCAGCCCGGATCTCTATGAGTTCAAGGCCAGCCTGGTCTATATAGTGAGTTCCAGGACAGCTCGGGCTACAGGGAGACCCTGTCTCAAAAAGACCAAAAAAGGGGAGGGGGGCTAAACCAACAAAACGCAGTAGAAGTATACTGGCTGGGCTAGTTCTGCTTTTCACATACAGAGTCCTGTTTTGCTGGGGTGAGGCTGCAGCCCGTCAAGTCTAGAAGCCACATGGAGGGGCCCACTGTCACAGGCATACAGATAAACGACGTTCTACATGATGACACACGGCCAGCCTCACCCCAGAGAACAGCAGTTACCACCACCTGGAACAGGCACAGAGTGCAGAAACACAGTGAGTCAGAGCACCAAGGTGGGCCAGGGCGGTGGTGCACCTGTCATCCCAGCACTGGGGAAGCTGAGGCAGTAGGACCAGGAGTTTGAGGCCAGCCTACACTACACAGTGACACCCTGCCTGAAAGAACACCACAGTGAGTTGTTTGGCGCCACCAGGTGTGGGATGGTTTGCCCCAGTGAGAACCCAAAAATATCACCTGATGACATCAGATCCCAGATAGCTGCTTAAGCGACATGTGAATTCACAGCTCGGTCTGCATGTCTGATATCACCCTGGCCAACTGTGTCTGACAGAGCTTCTTCACAAAAATTAAGGGGGAAATCTTTCTCCCTCAATTTGCCCAAAGGCAAAAACCTCCTAGTATCTGGAATAACATTTTTTTTTAATGAGCATCTCAGGTAACTCAAGCTGGCCTCAAAGTCACTTTTAACTCCTAAGTTTCCTTCCTCCACGTCCCTGGTGCTGGGATGTCAGATGTGCACCACCATAATCCCTTTTATGCAATACTGGGAATCGAACCCAAGGATTCTTTACAATAAAAGAAACAGAAAGCTGAAAGAATATTGTCAGAAACAGAGATAAAGGGCTGGATCAACAAACATATAAAGCTGGGGGTTCAGGGGTATGGCCAAATAAACCAAGGAGACAAATCGAATCCAAAGACAGCTGTGGCACTGAGGGTGTCAAAAACAGGGAGAGAGCACCACCTAGGGTCAACTTGTTGCATCCCACTGTGTTCTAAGGGACTTAGGGGAAACGCTGGGAGAGCAGCCATCCAACATCACGTCTATTTGTCCACCCCTGTGGCGGAAGAGGCAGCGTCACTGATCAAACAGATATTTGAGAAGAGACTTTCTGCAGCAGCCACCAATAGTCCAGCCATCCTTGGCACAGCCCACAGGGGACTCTGTCCTCCTGCTGCTGACAACCAACTGCCCCTGAATCCAGGTGAACTCAGCCTCCTCTCCCAGCTTAGGTTCTCTTGCCTAGACAAGGAGACATCCCTCTCTTCTAGATGGTTCTCACTAGCACACAATGTGAAAATGCATTCTCCAGCCCGGGTGTTTGTTACTAAAGTGACAGTCACACAACAACAACAACAAAAAAAAAAGTTTAAAACAACACAGAAATTTGACTCCTAATTGCAAGAAAAGGAACCAAACTTGGTGTCCATAAACAGATGAATGAATAATGAAAATGGGGTCTATTAACACTTTTCTGTTGTGATAGACCGAAGCAATTTATAAAAGAAAGAGTTTATTTGAGCTTACAGTTCCAGGGGAGTTACAGTCTGTCATGGCAGGGAGGCATAGTGGCTGGAGGTGGCTGGAGCAGGAGCAGCAGAAGCTAAGCTCTCACATTATCACACAGGAAGCAAGAGAGCAACTGGAGATCTGGCAAGGCTTAAGAACTCTAAAAGCCCACCCCGCAGCGACGTGCTTCCTCCAGGATAGCCACGCCTCCTAAAACCTCCCAAAACAGCGCCATCATCTGGGGACAAAATGTCCAAACACTTGGAGCCTATGGGGGACATTTTCATTCAAAACACCATAGGGTGGAGGTTGTTTTGTTTTTTGAGATGGGGGTTTCTCTGTAGCCCCAGCTGGCCTGGAACTCACTATGTAGACCAGGCTAGCCTTGATCTCTGCAAGATCTGCCTGCCTCTGTCTCTGCCTCCCAGATGCTGGGATTAAAAAATCTGCACCAATACACCCAGTTCACACAATAGAATTTTATTCAGCTAGAAAGAACAATGAGATCATGAAATTTACAGGAATACTTACAGATCTGGACAGTTTTAAGTGAAGTAACTCATCAGAAAGACAAAACTCTCATGTTCTATCTCATACGGGGAGTCTGGCTTATATGTACTATGTAAATGCAGTTGGATGTGAGGATAGTCTATGAAACTAGAAAGTAGACCACTTTAGGGGAAAAGGAAATGATGATGGATGGAGGAGGGCAATAGGCCACATGTGACTTGAAATCAGAAAGAAGGCCATGGGGTGTGGAGGGTGCATTCGTGGCTTGGGGGAATGAGACAGAGAGGAAAAAAGAATCAAAGGGCAAATTTTGTTTGAAAATATCATAATGAAATTAGTAGTATGTGTGCTAATTAAAAAACATTGAGCTCTACTGGCAGAACGTTCACCTGGCATGCACTAAGTCCTGAGCTCCACACAGGAGCACACAAAATGAGTGTGCTGCTGCAACCTTGTAATCCCAGCACTGGAAAAGTGAGACAGAAGCATCAGGAGTTCATGGTTATACTCTGCTACACAGCCAGTTGGAGGCCATCCTGTCTCTAAAAAAGAAAGGGAGGGGCTGGAGAGCTGGCTCAGTGGTGAAGAGCACTGGCTGCTCCTGTAGAGGACCTGGGTTTGGTTCCCAGCACCCACATTGTGACTAACAATTCCAGTTCCATGGGATCCAACACCCTCTTCTGGCCTCCCTGGGCACTGCACACGTGGGAGCACTTACATTCAGGCAAGACACTCATACACATAAAATAAAAATATTTTTTGTGTAACAAAAGGAAGAACTGGGTGTCGTGGCACATGTCAGCACTCAGGAGGCAGAGGCAGAGGGATCTCTGTAAAATCAAGGCTAGCATGGTCTACATAGTAAGTTCCAAGCCAGCTGGTGCTACAGGGAGACCCTGTCTCAAAAAGAGACCAAAAAAGTAATGATAAAAAGGAAGAGGGAGAGAGGGTAGAAGGAAGAGAAAGAAGGATTCAAAAAAATGAACAAGCCACCTCAAACACACCATCCTGACACAATGGCTATTTACATGACTCTTTAATAACAGGTACAGGGGCTGCTGAAATGGCTTAGCAGTTAAGAGTATTGGTTGCTCTTGCAGGGGGCCTGGGCTTGGTTCCCAGCAATCACATGGTGGTACACAACCATCTATAACTTCAGTTCCAGGGGATCCAACACCTGCTTCTGACCTTTGTGGGCATGCCCACATGTAGTGTGCTTACATACATGCAGGCAAGATACCCATACACATAAAAGAATAAATAACTCAAAAAATTAAATAAAAAGAAACATCACTTCAGGTATGGTGGTGCATGCCTTTCATCCCAGCAGTCAGGAGTCACAGGCAGTGGGATCAAAGGTTCAGGTCACTCTCATATGATCAGTGAGACTGTTCTGTGGGTAAGGGTGCTCGCCACAAAGCTCACAACCTGAGTCTGATTCGGAAACCCAAAACTAGAAGGAGAAAACCAATCCCCACAAGTTGTCCTCTGACCTCCACATAGGTACTGTGGCATGCACCACTGCATATGCAGACACAAAAACAAATTTAAACATATACACACCGTGTGTGTGCATGTGTGTGTGTGTGCATGCATGTATGTGTGTGTGCGTGTGTGTTACAATTCCATTCATGTAAAAACGCCGGAACTGACATTTCATTGGAAATGCTAACTAATTAGGCAAATTCGACAGCAGTCGTTGCTAAGAGCAAAACGTCCCCAGGGGCTCTGGCAGTGTGAGCGAGCGCAGGAATCTCCTGCTTTACAAGAGCGCAGCCCCGGATCCTCACTGCAAGATGACCAAAAAAAGAAGACACAACGGTCGCGCCAAAAAGGGCCGGGGCCATGTGCAGCCCATTCGCTGCACGAACTGCGCCAGTAAGAAGTTGGTTATTGGGAACATAACAGAGGCCACCGCTGCCAGGGACTTATCTGAGGCGAGTGTCTGCAAGGCTTACGCGCTTCCCAAGCTCTGTGTCAGGCTGCATCAGTGCGTTCATAGCAAGGTGGTCAGGAGTCGATCTCGCGAAGCTGGGAAAACACCCCCACCACCATTTACACCTGCTGGTGCTGCCTCACAACCTCCACCCGTGTAAAGACCTGACTTCATAAGAAAAAACATCTTCCAGGAAAATAAAATAAAATGGAAATTTTACTTTAAAAAAATAAAATAAAATAAAACTCCGAAACAGACCTATCCATAGAGACAGAAATGGACTGGCTGATTGTTGGAGGGGCCGAAAGAGAGAGGTTGAGAAACAAATGAAACGGGATTTCATTTTTACTTTTGGGGGTTTTGCTTTTCTTTCGTTTTCTGGATTGGAGGAGGGGGCAGGGTCTCACTATGTAGCCCTGGCTGGCTTGGAACGTGCTATGCAAACCGGGCTGACCTCAAACTTACCTCTGCTTCCCCAGTGTTGGGAGAAAAGGGGTGCACCGCCACTTATTTTTTCGGACCTTTTTTTTTTTTTTTTGGTCTTTTTGAGACAGGGTCTCCCTATCATCCCAACTGTCCTGGAACTCACTATGTAGACCAGACTGGCCTTGAACTCACAGAGATCCACCGGCTTCAAAGCGTGCACTACCACACCTGGCCCTTATTTTTTTTTATTTTACGTGTATGAGTGTTTGCTGACATGTGAGTGCACCGTTTGCATGCAGTGCCTGTGGAGGTCAGAAGAGGGTTTAGATCCCTGGAACTGGATGGTTGTAAGTCACCTTGTGGGTGCTGGGAACTGAACCTGGGGCCTCTGCAATGTGCTGGGGGCTCTGCAACATGTGCTCTTAACCAATTAGCCATCTCTCCAGCACTCTGTTTTGTTTTTGAGACATGGTCTGTGTAGCCCAGGGTGACTTCAAACTTGTCATCTTCCTGCCTCAGCCACCTAAGTGCCAAGATAATAGGAGGGTACCAACAAATCCTATGAGATTGGAGTTCCTCTGAGGTGAGAAAATCTCTCAGAACTAGACAGAGGTGGTAAAGCACAACACTGAATGTTCTAAATGCCACGTAACTATGCACTTTGAGGTGGTTAACGGTTAATTTCTGGTCATGTGAATTTTCCCACATAACAAAGGGAGGGTAAACATGATCAGAATTGGACAAGGACACACAATCGCACTCCCTCCCCCGCCTCAGCACACACCTTCCAAAGGGCCATGACACCCTTCAGAATTTACTGAGCCTTCACCCACCACATGACCAGGTCTGTGCCCACATTGACCATATCTCCTTCCTCATGGGCTCTCCAACACCCTTGAATGTCCTGATCACAGTCCACGGCCTAGGCTGGGAATGGTACTCCAAGTACCTGGGAATCCTGCCCTGTTTTGACTGGGATTGGGCCACTCTTCCCCTAAGCACAAACAATAAGAGTAGGAAAGAAGTGGGGGAGCGGCTCCGCATGCAGTTCAGTAAAACTGAAAATTCACATGACCAAAAATTAACGGTTAACCACCTCAAAGTGCATAGTTCAGTGGCATTTAGAACATTCAGTGTTGTGCTTTTCTACCTTTGTCTAGTTCTGAGAGTGTCTGCCTAGTATACATGAAGCCCTGGATTACTTCACAAAACCAGGTATGGTGGTATATCCTAACACTGGGGAGGTGCAAGCAGGAAGAATCATCATCCATTACATGCAGAGTTCAAGACCACCATGGGCTATGGAAGACCCTGTCTCAGAGTGAGAGACAAAGATGAGAGAAATGACAGGACAGCAGAAAAAGGAGAGGGAGGGACAAGGGGAGGAAAGGAAGGGGGCAAATTTTCTAGCTCAGCACCACAGACAGCAGTGTCAACATCATGAAGTGGATGGAAGCAGGTTTCTGTGCTTTGGGGGTAAAGAGGACAAATAGAACCAGTGGAGCCAGAGTTGGGAGGAAGGTCTTGCCCCCTGTCCTGCCTACAAACTGGGTCTTTGTCGGGGAGGGGGAGAATCCCTGAAGATTCAGACTCTCAAGAAAGAAAGACTTGGGCTCCATAGGTCCTCTCCCAGGGACCTGTCCACCCTATTCAATTTGTTTGTTGTTTGGGGGGAGGTTCTTTTGTGTTGTGTTGTGTTGTGTTGTGTTTGAGGCAGGGTCTCATGCCAGTCTCAAAGTGGCTAGGCAGTCAAGGAGGACCTTGAACTGCTGATCCTCCTGCCTCCAAGTCCCAAATGATGAGAGGACAGATGTACACCACCACACATGGTACACATGACATGGGAGATGGAGCCCTAAGCTTTGTACATGCTAAGCAAGCACTGAACCAACTGAGCCACATCCCCAGGCCCTCTCCCCCATTCCCTTTGCAGCCTAGAGTTCCTGGCAATGGCTCACAGGGCTGGTTCTTAGAGGCAGGATAAGAGGTGTCAGCATAAAACACGCACTGTTGAATGACCAAAACTGAAGTCCCAGGGTGCTCACAAATAGTAGTTGCACAGGTGTCACTGCAAAACAAAATCACCTGCCCTGGGGTAAGCAAGCCGTCATTGAGTAAAGGGGGGCCTTCACCTCTAGCCTGCCACATCCCTTGCTCAGTCATGCCCTCTGCAGACAGGTGAGGAGACCCGGAGAGCAGAGTACAGGGGAGGGAAACTAAAAAGGGGAGAGAGGCAGATTTCTAGCTCGGGACCACAGACAGGGGACCAAACAGCCTGGAGTAGATGGAAGCATGTTTTTCTGCCTTTTCGATGAAGAGGGCAGAGGAGTCCTGGAGCTGTCTTCAAGCTGGGGCCTGGGTACAGGGTGAGGGAAAGCGAATCCCTGCAGATCCCAGCTTGCAAGGAAGAAAGATGGGCTCCAGTGTCCTCACACAGGAACGTACAAGTGCAACTGAAGTTCCAGGGTGCTCAGAAAGGGCACGGTAGCAGCCAGGTACACAGATGTCAACACCTGCCCTGGGGTGAGCAGGCTGGGCTAAGCGAATGGAGCCATTTCCTCTAGCCTGCCTCATTTTGGGCTCACTAGTGGGACGTGGGGGAGAAAGTGGCTAAAAGAACAGAAGACAGCACACAGGTGCTGGCTGGACTGTGTCTGCTTCACAGTCCTGAGTCCCTGGGGAAAGGCTATCACCAGTCAGCTCCAGCCACATGGAGGGGCCACCGGTCACAGGCACACAGATAGAAGACATTCTACATGGTGACACACGGCCAGCCTCATCCCAGGAACGGCAGCTGCCACCACCTGGTACAAGCACCAACTTCAGAAACACAGTGAGTCAGAGCACCAAGGCCGGCCAGGGGTGGTGGTGCACACCTGTCATCCCAAAAGTCAGGAAGCTGAGGCTAGACTATCATAAGTTTGAGGCTAGCCTGCACTACATAGTGACACCCTGCCTCAAAATAAATAACACCGTAGCTGGCCAAACACCACCAACATGGTTGCTCAGGTGCTTCATAGAGGTTGGTCGTGTGCCCTATGTCTCCTCTGGGCCTCATGCTGAAAAGCTGGTCATGGCTGTAGAGTTATTGATCAGAACAGGGCTTTGGCTCATGAACCTTACCCTTAGGTGAGGAGACAGGCCATGTCTTTCAAACACATGCAGTTCACTGACTGTGTCCTCATTCCCACATGGTGCCCACCAGAAATATGTATGAAAAGCCTGGGAGAAGGCAGACCAAGAAGACTGGTACCAGAGAGAAAGCCAAAATGGCATATTTTGATCATTTCAAAATGAAAATAAAGAAAAATGAGGAACAGAAAAATGAAAAATGAATGTAAGAAACTTCAAAGAGCAGCTCTTCTGAAAGCATCTCCCAAAAAAAGTGTGTTGCTAAGGCTACCATCGTGGCTGCTAAAGTTAAGATTCCAGCCAAAAGGCAAAAGGGCCAGCCCAGAAGGCCCCTGCCCAGAAGGCAGACAGGTCAGAAGACTCTAGCCCAGAAAGCACTTGCTCCAAAAGCAGCTGACAGGAAAGCATGAGCACCTTTAACAAGGAATAAAGGTTGCTTTTGTTAGGGGCGGGGGACACCACCACAGTGGGTTGGCTGCTTGGAGCCACCAGATGTGTGATCATTTGTGCCAGTGAAAACTCAAACAATACTCCAGAGGACTCCAGATTCCAGAGGACTGCTTAGGGGACCTGTGAATCCACAGCCCAGTATGCACATCTGATACCATGCTGGCTAACTGATGGCTAACTGTGACCTGTGGCTGACAGTCCATAGCAAAAGGTAAGGGGGTGGGGGAATCTTTCTCCCTTAACTAGCCTAGAAAGAAAAAAAATCCCAGCCTCTGGTATATTCTTTTAATTTTTTTAGTTTTTATTTGTTTGGGTTTGGTGGGGGTTTTTGTGTTTGTTTTGGGGTTTGTTTTTTGTTTTTTAAGACAGGCTCTCCCTGTAGCCCTAGCTGGCCTGGAATTAACTATGTAGATGGGCTGGCCTTGATCTCCCAGAGATCCACCTGCCTATGCCTCCCAAGTGCTGGGATTAAAGGTATGTACCACCATGCCCAGCTTTATCTATTTTTTATACGTGTATTTTGCTTGCAGGTATATAACCGTACTATGTGTGCAATGACTGTGGAGGCCTGAAGAGGGCACCAGATCCCCTGGAACTGGGGTTAAGAGACAGTTGTTAGCTGCTGTGTGAGTGCTGGGAACCGAACCTGGGTCCTCTGCAAGAGCAGCCGGTGCTCTTAACCACTGAACCATCTTTCCTCCCCAATTTTTTGTTTGTTTGAATACAGGGTCTTGCTATTATATAGCCAAGCGAGCCTCCAGCTCAAAATTTTCCTGCTTCAGCTTAAGTGCTGGGGTTACAGGAGTGTGCCACTAAGGCAATGAGCATAACTTTTTTCTCTCAATTGGCATCAGCCACCACAGTTCTCTCTCTGCAGCAGGACCAGCTCTAGTCAATGCTTCCCACCATGGCTGAAGTATCAACTGCTGTTGTAATAACTCAGCCCCAACATGCTACCCAAATCCAGACTCTATGTCATCCCCCTTATCCACCTTCCTATGGAGGAGTGGGAGGGAGCAGGGTCCCAGAGCCAACCTTGCCCATCTCTAAGAAGCCCTCCCTCCTTCTGCACACCGCCGCCCTCTGCACCCAGCATCTCATCATCGGTGGCCTGGTCACTGCCTGCCCAGGCATCAGAGCTCTTGAAGTTTGTTTTTGGTGGGAGGAGTGTTCATGTGTATAGGTGTATGTGCATATGCACATCTACAGGTGTGTATGTTTGCACGTGTGTGTGCAAGTCAGAAGTTAAAGTTGGGAGTCTTCCACAGTCACTTCTCTGCTTTTTCATTTTCATGTGGGTGGGTTGTGCATGTCTGTGGGCAAACGGGGCGGGGGGGAATGTATGTGTGTGCACGTGCATGTGGAGGCCTGAGGTCAATACTGGGAATCGTTCTTGCTTGCTCTCCCACCTTATTCAATGAGACAGGATCTCATTAGTCAGCTGATCTCATTAGAGATCCCTTGCCTCAGAAATTATAGGCAGGCCACCACATCCAGCTGGTATTTACATGGGCTATGGGCATCCAAACAGGTTTCATGTTGGAATTTTAACCACTGAGTCATCTCCCAGCCCTTCCATCTTTTTTTTTTTTTTGAGACAGAGTCTTACTATGCAGCCTTGACTGGCCTGGAACTCACTATGTAGACCAGGCTAGATCTCAGAGATCCACCTGCCTCTGCTTCCCTAGTGGTGGGATTAAAGGTACGCACCACCTTGCCCTCCCACTTTATGTTTGACACGGTCTCTCACTGAATCTGGAACTCCCACACTAGACTGTCTAGACAGCAGGTCCCTGGCATCCTCCTGCCTCCACACCCAACTCCCAACATTACAGGTGCACTCATTTTTACATGGACACTGGGAATTCGAATTCAGGTAGGTCCTTTTGCTTGTACAGCAAGCACATTACTTACTGAACCACCTTGCCTGCCCCAGAGCTCCAGTACCCCTCATGAGACCCAGCTGCATGCTCAGCACTGGGCTAATTTGAGCCAGCTGGTAGCACTCAAAACCGTACCAGGGAGGACTCTCCTCTGCCAGGATGGGGGAGCTCCAGGAGTCCCCATCATTTCATTTAGGGATTTAAGGGTTGAGTCTGAGAAGAGCCTTGCCTTGTTACCCAGAAGTTGTGTTGCGTGTTACCTGTATTGTATTTTCTGGACTGTTCACACTCAGGCACTGAGACTTTGGTGTGAGGAGTCTAGCATGTGTAAATCTACCTATAACTAATAATAAGGCCGAGACCAAACCTTTGTCTGTTTATAGGATTAGAGAATCCATCTAAGCATTTTCAGTGCTTTGCTTTACTCTAAGCCACACTAACTTTACTTTAAGCCTGCAAGGGCTGGCTTATTAAAGGACAGTAAACAACCTACCAGCCTGGAGCAGAACTGTCACATAAAACATCAACCAGCCACACTAGGGGGCGGGGGGAGTCTGTAGGACTGTGTAGCCCAGACTGTCCTCAAACTCCAGGTCCTCATGCCACAACCTCCCCAGTCGTGGGATTATAGGTATGTACACACCAAGTCTATTCTGATTCTCCTGCCTCCACCTCCCAAGTACTGGGAGTACTTCAATTCAATTTGTGCAGTGCTGGGGATTAAATCCAGGGCTTCATCTATGCTAGGTAAGCACTCGACCATCTGAGCTACATCCCCAGACTTTTATTGTCCTCCCAGTTGAGGAAAAGCACTCCATCACTGAACCACGTCTCCAGTCCCTAGCCCCCTTTTATTAGGGTCTCACATCTAAGACACTATCCACCTGCCTTACCCCAGGGTCACATACCAAACAACACTGATTAGGCCCTAAGTCCAGATATGAACTGATTTCAACTAGCCAATCTTGAGCCTGACCACCCTGTCTTACACGCTTCTTCCTACAGAAACTACCGTGAAGGCTTTTGTCATCAGTGGCCCCCAAGTTCCTCTTCCTCCTGACCAACCCCATCCCCCCACAGCGCATCCACTAGGTGACCCTGGTGATGTAGCCTGGTGTGCGCTCCCCTTACTCTCCACTCCCAAAAGATTTTCCAGTAATAAAGTGTCTTCTGTTTTTTTGAGGCAGAGTCTCACCATGTAGCCCTGGCTGACCTGGAACTCACTATGTAGATCAGGATGGCCTCAAATTCACAGAGATCTGCCTGCCTCTGCCATCCTGAATGCTGAGATTAAAGACATGTACCACCACACTTGGGCTAAAATGTCTTTTCAATGGCCACATTATTATAATACCTAAATAATAAACACAGCATTCTAAAATAGGATGAAGCCACCCATGGTGGGTTATACCTATAATCCCAGGGCTTCAGAGGGAAAGGCAGGAGGATCAGTGTTCAAGGTCATCATCAGCTACAATTCTGAGTTCAAGGCTAGCCCGGACTACATGAAACCCTGTCTCAAGGACCGAAAATTAGCAAAATTTTTTAATTCATAAAAAACAAAATAGAGTATAGTCCAAATGAAGACACCCAACTTTCATGTCACATAAGAGGAAGCCATGTGGATGGGAGCCTCCCATCTCTGGGAAAGAGGCAGTTCCTGAGTTGTGTTCTTCGGTGAAGCCCACCGTTAATGCAGATAGACTCAATACTCAACCCCGCTTCCCACAGGGTAGCTGCAGATGTGTCCAAAACACGGCCCTGTGTTTTCTGAGCTGGGAGCTCTATCTTGGAGAGACGGGATCCAACAGAGACTCCAGGCTGCCCAGGCCAAGGGAAACAGAGGCCCAGAGGCAGGCAGAGAAAGTGAAGGAACTTTAATCGCTACCCATCAGTGTGGGCAGCAGGAGTGTCTGAGCACTGGGTAGTCCCATTTGGAGGGAGCAGCCCCAGGCCTGCCCTTCAGTCCCAACTATGGCATGTTCTCCGTCCGAGCTCCCCACATACAAGCAGAGTGTCTCAGAATCCCCAAACTCCAGGGCCATGTCTGAAGAAGCTCGAAGTCATGGTTCTCTATGGCCAAAAGAGTCCAGGCCTCTGGGGGCTGAGAAGGCAGCAGCTGCCTGCACGGCCCCCGCTGGGGCTCTGATGGCACCTGCTTATTCTCAAAGCAGGGACGTTTTCCTTTCTGACAGCAGCAGGGACTCCTTCACGGCCACCAACAGCCCTGATGGGGGCAGATAACCTTGACCTCGGAGCTGCAACAGTAGGAGGATGGTGGCCAAAACCAAGATGGCACTCAACACCCCTGTGGGGGACAGAGAGAGTCAGAGGAGTGGGACACGGAGGGTAAAGTCATCATACCCGCTGACCTCCTAATATGTAGAGAGTCTGCTATCTGCCCCCTCCAGTCACCCCAAGGCCCTCACATGGGAAGACCTGTCTTACCAGCAGCTACAATAATCCCATAGGCACTTGGGTTTCCAGATGGGTCCCCAACAGAGGCAGTTGTGGCATTCCTGAGAGAGGTGACATTCTCCAGGGTCTCAGGAGTCCCTGTGGTCGTGGTAGTCTCTTCCTGGAGGATCCTGTTGCTTTCTGTGTTGCTTTCTGCAATAAGCCAGGTAGTTGAGAAGAGGTACTCAAGGCTTGACAGTATGGCACACTAGAGTGTCAGGTGCCCAGCTCTTGGGACTCATCATGATCCAAGACTGGGTAGAGTGGGTGGGAATTGCTATTCTTAATGATGTCTTGCCCACTTCCATAGAGATGCAGACCTGAGAGGATGCATGCATCCATGTCCCCAACCAAGTCTCACATGGGCAGATCACAAGTATCCTTGAGTAACTGCCAGCCCTCCCCACCCACAGAGGTATGCCAAGATCCCAGGGCACGCACCACAATTGAGCTCATCACTGGAGTCAGGACAGTCTGAGTGGCCGTCGCAGTGCCACGTGTGTGGGATGCAGACATTGCCCAGTGTGCAAGGCAGCTCGCCCTCCTGACAAGGCTGATGACTGCAGTTGCGAAGCTTGTCAGGGCCACCAGGGCCAGCAGAGCAATCGCTGATGTTGTCACAGGAACAAGGAAGAACAGACAGTGGTTCAATCCCTAAAATGCAGGGTAAGTCAGGTACCAAATGTTTATCCAAGAAAGCCCAGTGCTTCCGGGGATCGATTCTCTATAAACCCTAACTTCTAAAAACAAGTGACCCAAGGCTGGCTCTGTAGGAAAAGTACTGGCTGTGCAGGCATGAAGACCTGAGTTTGATCCCCAGCTCCCAGGTAAAAGGCCAGGTGCAGCAGTGCACGTATATCTAACCACAATGCTAGGAGAGCAGAGACAGGTGGTTCCTGGGAGCTCAATGGTTAGCCAATCTAACTGAAACTGCAAGCTTCAAGTTCAGTGAGAGACAGTCTGAAAACAACAGAGGAAGACACCTAAACCTTCTGTTTTACACACACACACACACACACACACACACACACACACACACACCCAGGCAAACACACCTGCTGCGATTAAAGGTGTGCCACCAACCTGGCAAGACCCTGGCTCCTAAGTCTAATACCCACACTCCACCTGTCCCTACTCTGAAAGACACACCCACTCACTCCTAAAGGCACACCCTTTCCACAAGCCCCACTCCCATGAATGGCACCAGCCCAAGGTTCGATTCTGAAGCCCTACTCATGGAAGCCCCACTCTAGGTCCTGGCCACTTACTGCACTCCTCCTCATCACTGTCATCGGAGCAGTCTGGGTCCCCATCACAGCGCCAAGAGAGGGGCACACAGTAGCCACTGGTATGACACTGGAAGTTGTTGGGTGGGCACGAGCCAGCACTGGGGCCTAAGAGATGAACACAAATGAGGCCTGAGGACTCAAATCTAGAATATCCTTCAAGAAAGTGGTCATGTGCTGCAAATCAGCTGGAGACAAGCCAGGTCCCAGGGTAGAGAAACAACTCTTAGCCGTCCTTTGCAGGGCACTCAGTACATTAGGCATTTAGACCCCAGAAGTTCATGTGTGCTGCTAGGTAGACACCGCTACAATCTCCAGCCTACACAAGGAGACACTGTGAAGACACAGAACTAGTGGCAGTCAGGGCTCAAACCCAGGAATTACTGACCCTTGAGACTTTACTTTGCTCCAAATGGCTAGTCTACAGTGGAAACCTTCAGAAACCTCCAAACTCCATGGTTAAACAGACTGGGGGAGGGGCCGTGCCCCAACATGCTCTGCAAAAGGCTCATGACCAAGGTTAGTAGGACCTTTTCTAGCCCACCTGCTTGACAAGGGGAACAAAGGGGAAACTGAGGCCCTGGCTTGAAAACCTCAAAAGCCAGGTGTGATAGTATATGCCTGCAATCCTAGCCCTGAGATTAGAAGTGGAAGTATCCTGAGTTCCAGACCAGCATGGGTTACACAGGAACATAGAAAGGTCTTGCCTTTAAAAAAAAGCCAGGCATGGTAGTGCATGCCTTTAATCCCAACAAAGGGGGGGGGCTCGTGGGGCAGAGAGGTGGGGGCAGAGGCAGGCGAATCTCTGTGAGTTCAAGGACAGCCTGGTCTACATACTGAGTTCCAGGCCAGCTGGGACTATAGGGAGACCCTGTCTCAAAAAGACCAAAAAAAAAAGAACCAGTTTAATCACCAAATCTTGTTGCCTCATCTAATCTCCTAAATTCTTCCCTGGTCAAAACACTCTAGATGAGGGACTGGGGAGATGGCTCAACAGTTAAGAGCACTGGCTGGTTTTGGTTCCCAGTACCCACATGTCAGCTAACTAACAACCATCCAAAATTCCAGTTTCCGGATTCCAGTTTCCAGATTCCAGGGGATCCGGTGCCCTCTTCTGGCCTCCATGGGCATTGCATTAGATAAGGGTACACTTACAAGCAGGCACTCATACACATAAAAATAAATTAATTTTTTTTGGGGGGGGTCTTTTTGAAACAGGGTTTCCCTGTAGCCCAGGTTGGCCTTGAACTCACAGAGATCTGCCTGCCTCTGCCTCCCAAGTGCTGGGACTAGAGGCATGTACCACCACACCCAGCTAAATTAATATTTTTTTTAGACAGGGTCTCCCTGTGGCCCCAACTAGCCAGGAATTGTGTAGATTAGGGTGGTCTCAATCTTGCAGAGATCCACTCACCTCTGCCTCCTGAGTGCTGGGATTAAAGATGTATGCCACTACACCCAGCAATTTTATTTTTAAAAATTACTGTTAAAAAACACTCTGGATAACCTAAATGTGTCATCTGTTTTAAAAATATTTTATTTATATTTATTTGTGTGTGTGTAAGAGCATTTGTATGCTGGTGCCCACAGAGGCCAGAAGAGGGTACCATCTCCTGGAGCTGAAGTTACAGGTGGTTGTAAGCAAGTGCTCTTAATCACTGACCCATCTCTCCAGCCTCAAAGTGTCACCTCTTTACCGAACCCCCAGGACCTGATCTCAAGGACAGATAGAGCATCATAATCCTCTCAGAGTTACACCATCTTCTCACCCACTCAGGCCTTCTCACAACCAAATTCAAACTCCCTCCTTCTTCATCCAGCTCCCTCCAGTCTGACTTCTTCCTTATAGCTCATCTAAGAGACTTGGCTCCTTTGCATGTGCCTTCTCCAGTCCACAGGCCCTTCCCCTGGCCCTCTACCGCTCTGCATTTGAGGGGGAGGGAGTGGAACCTAGGCCCTGTGCACAGTACTAGGAAAACACTCAACCACTGAGCCATACTCCACTCTGCACCTGGGATTTGCTCCAAAGCCTTCAGATCTCAGCTTAATTCTTGGTGTGGGTCTCATGCACCTTGCTGAGACCCAGGAAGTCATGCCTCTCACACATAACAGCAGCCCTTAACTTGTACCATTTGCCCTCTGTCTGTCCTCCCACTGACTAGACACTCACAGTGAAGGTCAGGGGCATGACCTTATCACCCAATCCAGGCCAGCACCTGACAGTGTGTTAACAACAGGTCATATGAGGGTCCAATTGAGTCCAGGTGAAAGAGAAGCCTTTCCTGGACTCTGAACAGGGAGATGGACAGTTTGCTGAGCTAGAGGTGCAGAGACACAGACGGCCTTTATTTAGTATCCCACCTCACTCATAGGGCCTCTATGTCTCCCTCCCCCAGGTTTGCTGCAATTATACTTGCAGACAGTACCACGGTCCCAGAGTTCTGAGGAGCCCGGAAGAGCTAAGGACAAGCCCTAGCCACCTTCCTTCCCTGCCCACGGGGGTTCTGAGAACTTCAGGCCCGGTTTCCTCTAGCAACTCACAGTCCTAATATCTCAGACCTCCCCACCTCCCCCAGCTTTCTGGTTGTTTGTTAGAGTGGGCCCAGAGCAGGGCAGACCTTGCCTCACCGGGCAATGACTCAGGTGTCAGAGTGGTCCATGATTTCTCCTCCCAGTCTGTTTCCTCATCTGTAAAAGCAGTCCACTAAGGTCAGGCATGGTGAGGCACATCTATAGCTCTTGCCAGGCTGAGGCAGGAGAACTGCTATGCTTTCCAGTCTAGCCTGAGCTACAGAGCGAGGCCCTGTCTCCAAAAGCCAAAGCAGGGGGTGGGGATTACTCTAAAGACCAGTTAAATTCTGCCTGCCTCCCAAGGTTAAGGAAGCCCTACGGACACGTTAGCCTCACCTGTAATCCCTGCATCCAGTAAGGAGGCACAAGATCCACACCAGCCTGGGCTACATAATGAGACCCTGTCTCAAAAAGAAATCGAAACAGTAAGATCTGTTCTCCCACAGAAATGGACGTTGAGCAGTGGTCAACGGTTACAACTAGAACCTCCTGCTCCTGCCCAGGGCAATGCCTAACCATGACTGGGGTCACAAGCGACATATACGGGGCTAGTAGTAGCTGGAAGTTTCTTTCATCCTCTACAGCAGGAATCAAACAAGAAAGAGAAGCTCTGATTGCTCAAAAGTCAGCCACAAAACCTCACACTCAGGACCGAGTTTCCGGAAGGCAGACCTGAAGGAAGGCGCCAGGTGACCAGCCCTATGCAGTAAGAGGATGGACACAAATCACAGACATAAGACTTCCAGCCTACGCTGGGCTGAAGGGCGGCTTGAAGGTGACCATGGGGACGTGGGGTCAAAGCGGGGAGGAGGGGGCTCTGTGAGCAGGGCAGCAGAAGACCGGCGGAGGCACCCACATGAGGGTTCCCTAAGCAAGCAGATGCAGCAGGGCCCGTGCTCCTCAAGCTGTCGGAACCCGCGTGCTGGAGGAGTGTCTGAGACGGACGAGCTGCACAGCCAATGGCTAGGCGGGCCGACACGCGGGGGCGGGGCGGGGCAGATAGACCTGGGGCGCGTTGCAGAGACTCACCCGCGGCCTGGACCCGAGTCTGGGTCCGGGTCGGGATCAGGGCAGCCTCCAAGCCAAGTCCGAAGCCGAGCAGCAGCCGCAGTGCCAGGCTCAGGGCCGCTGCCCGCCGTGTTCCGCCCAGCTCCATCAAGCCTTTAGTCCGACCACCTCTGCAGCGGCGCCCGCCGCACGCTGTCCGGGGCAGCGCTCTTATTGCGCACGCGCCCACAAAGGCAGAAGAGGGTGGGGCTTGCGCCAAAGGGGCCCTCAGGCTCTGGTACCGTAAATATCAAAATACAGGGATTGTAAAAATTTAAGGTTCTCTCCTTTTCCAAATGGAAAGTCTAACGAGTTTGGTGACCAGCGCCTGTACTGGTACTTGGAAGGCTGAGGTTAGAGAATCACAAGTTCAAGGCCAGGCTGGGCCACTTGAGGGGCTCCTATCTCAAATTTTAAAAAAAACAAAAACAAAAAAGGTGTGGGGTTAACCAGGGCTATAGTTCAGTGGAAAAGCACTCAACATTCAACCCCAAGTACCAGAAAAAAGGAAAAAAAAAAAAAA